AAATAAATTAAAGAAAAAAATTATTAATACGAGATATGACGTATAATCGATATTTGAAATATCGATCGACCATATACTTTATGAGAAAGAGATTTCTGGTAAAAAGTTTAGCAAAAACAGCTATAGAATATAGCTTTCAAATTGGAAACTCCGTCCATAAGAGCGCTCTTACTTGACAGAGACACACTACCCTCGGGGTAACTATGATTCATTATCATGGTGCTTATAAAGGATCATTAATATTATCCAACGGACTAGGTAACACGCTTTACCACTAACCACTATATGAAGCGTTTGTACTTGTATAATAGGATCAACCTGCCAAAATAACGTGTAATGCACTTTTACCATCAGCTTCTACACGTCATTGAGAATCTAACGATAATAAAAAAGAAGAAGACAAAGACAATATATATGAGAAGTATCAAAAGACATCTTTTAATCCTTTATATTATACATAACTATTTAACTATTATTCAATATTTCAAGATATTCCGATGATTGCATTATCCAATCAAAAGTTCAGCTCAAAATAAGTAAATTTCTTATCCGTTGAATCCATAATATAATTGGTTTTTACTTAAATTTAAAATATTTGTCTATCGATAAGAAACATTTTTTTACGTATATAAAAACATTTTACCGCAAAAATTTGTACTACAAATAAATGTTGTTACTCTGCCACTCGTTCTCTCTCAAAATAACTATACGTATAAATAATTATTCATCAAATATTATCGCTAATACCTTTCGAATAATTAATATTATAAATCCTTATATCTCCAATGAACTATAATCCACCTGTCGCAAGTAATATTGATAAAAGAATATTGTTTTTAGATAGAAAGGAAAGAAGAAAAAGGAAAGAAACACACAAATTCACGATAAAACAATTTTATGCAAACTTGTCTATTCTATCTTCTTCTTTCTATTAATAAGAAAATAAACAAAGTTAGTCATATTCGAATATAGATCAGATAAAAGTAAAATATTCTATGTCGAAATAAGAATATTACTTTTGCGGTTAAAAAATATCGCCAGGAGTTGAGAGGGATAGTAGGGTAATCCTTATGGACGCATCTTCTCTTTTTCCCGTATAATAAAAAATGTTAGAAGCTAGAATAATTGCTGAAGAACGGGCAGGCATCTCTTAATGTACCAAGAAGAAGATCCCGACTTTCCTTGTTGTCACCTGTCACAGATAAACTTTTTCGCGATGAAAATAGTAAAGGTAAGCCAGTAAGGGGAAGAAGAAAGAAGAGTAGAAGGTAAAGGAAGAAGAAGAGAAAGAGGAATAAGAACAAGAACAAGAATAAGAAGAAGAATAGAAAAGAAAGAAATAAAGAAAAAAGAAAAAAGAAAAAAGGGAGAGAGATTTTCCCCTTGGATGGCTTATAATGAGAAAAGTAATTCCAATTTAAATATCCCGAAGTGCCAGGTAGAATAATACCCACGATTGCGTTGAAACTCATAGTAGGAGGAGGAAAGAAAAAGAGAGAGAGAGAGAGAGAGAGAGAGAGAGGAACAGAGAAAGACTAATTCTGCAAAATACTTCAACTTAGCAATCTTCTTCGAAAAGTATCGGATCAATAAATAATAATCTCGTCAATAATGATATATATATATTTCATAAAATAATAATCATCAATCGAAAATATAGATAACATAGTTGGTCCATAATAAAATTTTATTATTGTATTTTATTATTTTATATTATATTATATAGTATAGTAATATCGAAAGTAATATATTATAAGTTAAATATTTATCTATATTATATGATAAATTAGTATCATTAAAAATATTAAATATTACTTAGCAATATCTCTAGCATAAATATTTCATACTTATAAATAAATTATAGTACACTTGATTATACATATACAATATAATTTATTACAATATATATTATTAATGAATTATATATTTTTTAAATATTTATATATATAAAATGTATAATTTTATGTAAATATTTTGAAATCTTACCTGCAGAGATATACACGTGGCTTCCTTCTTCTTTTCATCCTTTCTAACGCCTCCTTCTTCCAATTGCTTTCTTACTCTCTACTGAAAGCATAATAATGACTATGTATAGAAATACATACCGACACGGACGATTAAAGTTCATCGCCTGAGGGTGCAATACTGAAGTATTTGACCATCACTATTGTTTCTCTTTTCCACAACCAAAATGATGCACGTTCTATTGTTTACCATCTTTTTCAATAATACGAAAGCAACGGGTTTGATATGTTGTTTTTTAAATATTATATGTATAAGTCTAACTTTTTTTCTCTATTCTATGATCATATATGTAAATTTATATATAAATAATAATATTTAAATTATATGAAATATTTATAAAAATTATTTTCTAACAATGCTGTATGTACATATATAATCAGGTTTTTTTGTAAAATTATTTATATATATATATATATATGTACCTCAATTAATATGTTACATTAAAATTATTAATTTGTACATTTCTTTTGTATATACCTGTAATTCTGCATCGATAAATTATTTTATGATGAATGCATTTGCCCAATAATTCTTATTTTATCTCTGATTATATATATAGTAAATTTTGTCTTCTATAATAAAAAAAGAATTTCTATATATTAATAGATGATAAATTTAAATATTTCAAGAAAAAAGAAAGGAATTAAATACATATGTTGTAATTAAAGAAGTTCAGAATTAAATATAACGATCTAAAAAAAAAATTTGATTTTAAAGGAGGATATAAAAAAAATTAAATGAAATAATATAAAAAATCTTTACAATTATTTAGGGAAACAATATGAATGAGTAAATTATTTTCTTTAAGAATCCTTATATTGTTTTATTTATTATCTTCTTTTATTATCCATTGTATAATACTCTCTATAAACTTAAACTTAATCTATTTTTATTTATTACTAAACTCTTATTATATATTTATTATAAATATTATATGTTGTATTATGTATAATTTAAAAGGTACAGATATTGTGTGCCTTGTATAAGTAAATATATAATGTAAACTATGCATGAGATTAGAAAAATATCAAAGAGAATATGCAATTATGATTTAAATTTAAAATGCTAATACTTTATATTAATAAACCTTTCGACTTGAAATAAAAGATCTGACTCGTCGTGGTAATATAATATTAAAATATAAAACAACGAGCTACATTCTTTGTGCAGTTTGTCGAAGTAATTTTATCCATATGAAAAATAATACTAAATTTAATTATACGTCAAGGAATTAAAATTAAATTTTTGTTTATCTAAGTCGATTGGGTGTAAATTTGCAAAACATCAAACTTGACTGATCTTTTTTGTACATCTATTAGAACTTTAACTAGCCGATTTAATTAGTCAGACAGTAATTATTATATCTTCATTAGATGCTACTTTCCTGGATCTTCGTCTTCTGAGTAAATCACAAAGGCTTCAAGTGTCCTGAAATCTTTTAATTAAATTATTGATAAATTATATGGTTAATGGTGAAATGTCTTGAACTTTTTCTTGAAATGTCTAAATTGCTTCTTTCAAAATGTTCAATTTCAACCACAGTTGTAGTACGAGCACGCAATGCTCTATTATTAATTTAAAATTCATGCTTGTTTCTCATAAAATGTAACGATTAGCCATAAGATCAGTTAAGTAACTTTCATTTTTTAAGACAACTTATGGACACCCTATATACATAACATAAATATTATGTGATGTGTATGTGTATACATATATATATATATATATATATATATATATATGTTGCATGTTTGCATACATTATGTGATATGTGCATTATACAAGTATGTGTACATTATACGTAATGTGTAACTTATATTATTTATGTATTAAAATAGAAAATTTAATCAAGAGTACCACTAATTAACGTACAATTATTAATAAAAGTATCGTTATAAAGGAATAAGAGTACAGAAACATTATGAAAATAAATTTAAAACCTTCGAAAAAATTTTTGACGTATAACCAAGAAAAGGATGTCAAGACGACATAATTTTACTTTTATGAAAATTTCGTTATAACTAAATTACACTTCGTGAATAATGCATATTACAAAATACACTTTAACGAATCAATTTATATATTAGACGAATTTATACTTTTAAAAAATTCAATTAATTACCTAAAATTTATAGAAGCGACAAGAATTTTGTTTTAACCTGGTACAAACAAAACCAACAGAGCGTCATCTTCTTCTAAAATCAGGAACCCGGTTCTGCGCATGCGCATTTCGTTTTCTCTCTCTCTCTCTTTCTCTTTCTCTTTCTTTCTCGTTCTTCTTTAATTCTAATTATTGTAAAAGATGTTAGTTAAATAATATTATTCTCACAATCGTTTCTGTTTTCTTTTCTTTTTTATTATAATATTTTCTTATCATTTTTTTTTTTTAGTTTTGGTTGAATATAGACAGCGTGTGAATGCAGCCATTGGTCGAAACTTTTATTAGCAACTGGTGATTAGTCGGTTTCATGTTGACTGTCAACTTTTAAATTCAATTTTCTACAAGATGATATTTTAATTTTATATCGTTTTCTATATTTTTAGGATACTACTTGCATTTTACATATAAAGTAATCATGAAAAATATGATTATTTAATTTTTGAAACATAGTAGTTTTCAATTCATTAGCAGTTCATAGAATCGATATGATTGGTCTATTCTTCTAATTCTGAAATATAGAGAAATGATTTGTTGAATTGCGTTGCTTCTAACTATTTAATGAAAAAGAAGCAAAAAGTTTTCTATACCAGAAATATTGTCTAAATGAAAATATTTTCGAAATGATAAGTAATCGAATTATAATAGTGTTGATGTTTGGTGAACAATAATAAATCAGTAATTTATACATTATCGGTTAAGTATTTATTTCGGTGGTTACGAAATAGTGAAAAATAATACAAAATAAATTTTAATCATTGTTAGTATTGAAAAAGTTAAACAATAACAATGGTTAATTTCAATTGACTGAATTTTTTAGAAATTAAAAATATACGTTTATTTATTGTACTTATTCGATATTTATATAAATATATAAGAAAATTTGTAAACATGAGTTCTCATCACTGTTTAACATCTTCTGAAGAAGTCGAACACACAAATTTACTCTCTGAGGATATCGGTGCTCTTCATCTTTCAAATAATTATACGGATGTAACGCTAGTAGTTTCAGGCCAAAAATTTAATGGTCACAAAATAATTCTAGCAGCTAGAAGTCAATATTTTCGAGCTCTCTTATTTGGTGGTTTGAAGGAATCGTCTCAGGAAGAGATTGAATTAAAAGGTCCATCTTTGGCAGCTTTTAAAAAATTATTTCAATACATATATACTGGTCGTATGTCTCTTGCTAATCAACGTGAAGAGGTATTCAAATAAATATACATTTATAAATATAGTTTGTTTCTGTATATAATTGCGATGTAACGATAAAAATATATATATATTTTTTTCAAGGTAATTGTTGATATTCTCAGTTTGGCGCATCAATATGGATTTTTAGAGCTTGAAACTTCTATATCAGATTATCTTAAAGAAATTCTTAGTGTAAAGAATTTTTGTCTTATATTCGATGCATCACGTCTTTATCAACTCGAATTTTTAACCAAGGTTTGCATTTACTTATATAATAGATTATCATACCGTTTGTAATTATTTACAGTGGGTGATCAGTTAAAAAACAGTACGGACTGTAAATAAATTGGACAGTGAACACTTTTGCTAAAAATTTTTATATTCAGATAATAAACATATGTTTATTAACTGATCTCCCATTGTATAGTTATGTGAGCTATAAGTTATAAGATATATATATGCGTATATATTTATCTATTTCTTCTTTTCTTGTTCGGTCTTGAAAAAGGTGTGTTATGAATATGTGAACAAACACGCTATAGAAATTATACAACATGACAGTTTTTTACAATTAAGTTCTTCAGCAATAAACGAACTTATTTCGTCTGACTCATTTTACGTGCCTGAAATTGATATATTCTTAACCGTAAAAGAATGGATCGCAGCAAATCCTGATGTGGATCCAACTGAAGTTTTAGGTCTGTAAAAACTTTTTATATATACTTTCTTAAATTATATCTGTTCTTACTTTTTTTATAAAAAGAGAATTAAAAGAAAAAGAAGGGAAAAGAGGAAAAACTAATAATATCGAACTATAACATTTTAGGAAAAATAAGATTAAGTCTTATCTCTTTGACCGATTTATTAAGCATTGTGAGATCAACTAAATTGGTATCCTCCGAAGCTATTTTAGATGCAATAACAGCAATAACCGAAAGACCTTCAGAACTTCCTTTTCGAGGGCAAATGTTGGTAGATGAAAATGTTGCTCGTGCAATTTATGGGGCTCAAGTTCTACAAGGTGAAATGCGAAGCTACCTTTTGAACGGTGATAATCGTAATTACGATATGGAACGCGGGCAAGTGTATATATTAATATTTTATATCTACATATATGTATAGATATATATATATATTTTAATCAATGAAAATATATTTAATTATCTGTGAAAACTTCATTTAGAATAAAACTTATAAAAAATGTAATATCAACTTTATAGATATACGAGACATTCAATAACAGATACACAGGAACATGGTATATTAATTAAATTAGGTACTCAATGTATAATAAATCATATGAAGATGTTACTCTGGGATAGAGATTTACGTTCATATTCCTATTACATCGAGGTGGGTATCTTTAACCAAGTACTATAGAAATTAATTAAATGAGTATTAAATAAAAGTGTGAATTATTCTAAAAATGTATTTTTCTTTTTCTTTCTGTCTCTTTGTAGGTATCTATAGATCAAAAACATTGGACGAAAATTATCGATTATGCGGAATACTTTTGTCGTAGTTGGCAGTATTTATACTTTGAACCGAGGGTTATGCTTTATATTCGTATCGTTGGCACAAATAATACTGTGAATAAAGTGAGAAAATTGTTTATATAATATGTTAGTAATGTTATAGCTTGTTATCAAATGACATTATGTAACGATTAGAAATAATTTATTATAGGTATTTCATGTTGTAAGCTTTGAAGCGTATTATACAAATCATACAGAAAAATTATCTAATGGATTTATCATTCCGAAACGAAATGTTGCTACACTGCAGCTTAGTGCCAGTGTTACGGAAGGAGTGAGTAGGTACGTATAATTATTTTTCTTATACATAACTATGTATAAGAGAAATATAGAAAAAATAAAGAAACCATATTCAAAAATCTATCTGTAATTATCTTTTATTTACAAATATTTTTTATTTATATAGATTTCGCAATACTTTACTAAATGGTAATATATCAGATTATGATTGGGATAGTGGATATACCTGCCATCAATTGGGTTCAGGCTCTATCTCAATACAATTAGGGCAACCCTATATCATAGATTCTATGGGGTAATTTATATTTTATTTATTTAGTTATTTCTTTTTTATAAACTTTTAGTTGTATTTATTATTATAAGTTACCTTTACAGATTATTACTTTGGGATTGTGATGATCGGTCATATTCTTATTATATAGAAGTGTCCGGTAATAATTCAACTTGGGATAGAATAATCGATAAGACTAGAGAACAGTGTCGTTCTTGGCAAATACTTCATTTTTATCCACCTAGACCTGTTGTTTTTATACGTATAGTTGGAACTCATAATACAGCAAATGAGGTTATTTAAATTAATTATTAATCTAATGATAATCTTAATACATATTTCATTATCTAAATTATAAATGTGTATATATTTATAGGTATTTCATTGTGTGCACTTCGAATGTCCTTCTCAAGCTGAAGATAAAATTCAAAAATCACCAATGAATCGTGGAAAAATGTTGACAGCTCATTCAAGTAATGCTACTTTACCAGTTGCATTTGAAATACCTTTTAGACTAGTAGAAGACAAATTTCCGGATGATGTGAATTCGTCTGATAGTTCTATTTTAGATGCGGAACTTTAATATCATTTAATATATGCATTACAGCATTTTCTCTCGTGTGATAATAGCGTCCAGCAAAAACTTGTAAGACTATATAGATTAAGTATAATATTTATAAGAGTTTAACAATATAATAACACAATGCGCATCTCATATAAAATAATATTTATTTAAAAAAGGATCCTTTGTTATATCATAATATTTATAAATTCACTGAAAGATAATTAGAAGATCAAGAATCACAAATCTTAAACTGAGGTGCTTTATAGGTTTGAAATATTGTTATGTATTATACTCATTGTTTGTGGTCTCTCACGCTTATATACAGGGTATCTGAGGTTTCTCCGATCAAACAGTATTAGCATATTCTGTATCCAAAAATAAGAAATAATTGTTATGTAAACAGAAGTCATTTAAAGCTGTATTCAAAAGTTGATTGGGAAAACCTCCAGACACCCTGTCTATATATAATATATACAGAATAATTTTCTATTTGTTATAATAAAATTATTTCTCTTGTTTAAATATATTCAAGTATATACATTTTCAGAATTTTACAACGTGATAGGTACAAAGAAATAGCAATCAAACTTAGGTGCCAAGTTTTTATTCTCCAAAATTATATTGACTCTCTGAGCTTATAGATAAAATGCTAATAAGTAAATCTTTATATCTCCCTCTATTTTCAGTATTTCGTTTAATTTTATTTATAAAATATATCAATATGTATAAAACAACACCATTATATATAATACGTTATTTTTATATATAACAAATTATAGAATACCCATTATATATAAAAAATTTGCAAATAATAACAATAGTAGTAATAATAATAATAATATATATATATATATTTAGAAAACAATCTTTTTGCTAGTCTACAAAATAGTTTAAGATTATGATTTAGTTATCACAGTTATATTAGGCATAGGTAGGTAAATGTGGTAAGGAATTTCTATAAGCATCTCTTTATGTTGTAAATTTGAATTTTTTACGCACATCATAAAAATATATATATATTTATTCTACTTATACAATAGTTTATTTTATTTTATTGATTCAAAATAGTCAGATATTTTTAAAAACCAAATTTTGTTCTTCTTACTTTTTTATTTATTTTATCTTTAGCATTTATACAAATATGTTATATTATAAAATTCAATTACTTTATCACTTATTATGCGATCCATTTTAAATCAGCACATAATGATATATGATCACTTGGGAATACTACAGAAGGTAAACCAATATTTGCACTAACTTCTTCCAAACTAGGCATTGGAATTACTTGCTCTACTTCAAGTTTATTCTTTTCGTAAAATATGTAATCCAAACAGCCTGAAAAAGCTGGAGTGTAATTTGTATACGTTGGTGTTCCGCACGCACTTGCAAAAGAAATACTATGGGTTAAAGATACATCTTCTACAGTTTCTTCGGAATCTGTTTAAAAAACAAAAATAAAGTTTTCAACGAATGAGATAAAAGTAATTGAGATATATTTAAAAACAAAAGAATAAAAAATTGGCCCTTACTACTGCTCCAATCTTTATAATTTTCAGGTATATAGTTTTCTGTCATTAATTGATAAATACCGCATTCAGGTACACTGTTGAAATCGCCGCATAATAAAATGCTAACATTACTATCAGGACACTAAATTTTTATATGATTATATTAAAAAAAACGTGATATTATAATATATACTATACACATTACATATATTAATGACAATGAAATTTTACGTACCTTTGTCTTCATATTTTCTACAAATTTTTCTATATACAGTAATATGTAATATCCTTGTAACAAACGTATGTGATCCGCTTCAGGATGAAAATATAAATGCGTATTAGTAATAACTAAAATATCTGATGGTCTTTCCTTTGACCTTAATGCAATTATCTGTTACCCAATAATGTTTATATATAATACATATTTATCTTAATAAATAGCAAAGACAGAACAAAATAATATTTTAATATTTTACCTGTGCAGTTGTATTTCTATCTAAAAATCGTTTCTTTGCCTTTTCATTCTGTATTTTTGACCAAACTTGTGCAAATTTAGGCATTTCAGTATTATGCCCTATAACTGTCAAATCAGAACACAGTTCTTCGAATCTGTTTTCGTTAAAAAATATTGCTAGACCTTCAGACATTGAATTTTTTGTATTAAATATACTTTTATATCCTAGTAAGGACAAATTTGGCGTAAGGTCATTCTCATAAATCTTACTATCGACCTCTTGGAGGCAAATTATATCGGAGTTAAATCCTAAAACGAAAAAAGAACAATTATACATCGTCTCACACTTAAAATAACTTTTTTTTTATTTATTAGAATGAGTGATCGATTAATGAACAATTTGGATACTTTGTATTATATATATATATATAATATAAATTTACCTATTAATTCTTTGAGTATAAGTTGCTTACGATAATCCATTTCTAGAGCATATGCTGGACAATAAGGAAATAAATTTTCTTTACTGTAAGTAGTACTAGAATACGATTCTGCTAATATATTATAGGATGTAACTCTGAAACTAAATTTATACAAATTTGCATACATATATATGTATATATATATATATATAACTTGTAACAATATATATCGATAAGATGTAATTATTATAATAAATCATTTTAACAATTACCTTTTGCCTGTCAATTTATTATTAGTAAATAGATGACGAGTATCAAACGGACAAGGTCCTGGACCAGCTTCTACCAAACCTTTAGATTCGACTTCAGTTAAAGGTCCATAATCATTATTGTTTCTTGGAGTGCAACTCAATTTTAATCTATAACCAATATCAGATATATTTGGTATGTAAAAATATCCATCTCCAACGTGTAACCATGCTTGTTTGGAATCTTTATTTGTTTTGTACCAACTAAAGTCAGATATTTTATTATCCGTATGCAATGCATTAAATTTAGCTGGATATGTTGGAAAACCGCATTGTATAGATGAAGCTAAAGTAAGACGATTGACAATTGGCATATTTTTCTTGATTATAAATGTCTCATCAAATATCACTAATTTAAGATTATTTACATCCTTCAAAATAGTTTCAAACGACACATCACCACTTATCTTAACGTCATCTTTGTACAAGAATATATCTTTCTTTAAAATTTCGTCAAGTGCATCCTCAAATTTCTTTCTTCTTTTCATTAATATTTTACTAATATTGTTATTGAGTTTATTGACAAATAAATCAACGGTCTCATTGATACGTCTTGTAAAGTTGAATTGACGATCGATCTTAATTGTTGGACATTCATAACGTAGCATTAAATCAAACGTTTCTGCTCCTTTTTCGTGATACACAAGTGCTTCTCCACTATTTAATATCATTTTTAAATCTGTATGTTTATTACGAGTCACTAAATTTATATTCAATATTTTGATTAGTGAGGTTAGTTGATTTTTTCGAATATAACAATTATTTGTAAATATACTTAACATTATAATATTACAATTATTTGGATTATGAAGAATTTTCTTAAATATTTACGTATTATAATAATATATTCTCTATTGTCACATTTATCTTCTAATATAAATAAATACTCGAATTTTTATGCTACATTAATGAAATAGTTGGAAACATGCCGATAAAGTAGTGGAACGATATTACCGATCTCAAAAAAATACTTTAATTATTTTTTGATAAAATATTATTTCATTATTTAATATAAAAAAAAAAAAGAATCGTCTAACAAATACTCATTATAGAATTTAATAATTAATTAAACAAACAGTTTTATATTACATTATTTTTTTTTCTTCTTTCTCTTTTACAAACAATTTCTTTATACCTATATTACTAAAAATTCGAATTATTTAACCTTAAAAATATATCTTTTCATTAAACAATCTAATTATCAAAACGATGATTAATTAAATCATTTAAAGTTTTACCGCTAAATTTAAAACACATTTAATTCTTACATCTGATTCACAAACGAGAGTTTTAATTAATTATTACGTTCCACCATAATGTTCACAGAATCCATTGTTTCCTCCATTTTTCAATTTTCTATTCACGTTTTAATTCATTATATTTATAAAAAATATTTAAGAATTATTCTTTACACATTTTTTAAAAATTATTTATTATTGCTCTACGTTTATAGTCAAACTTTTTGAAATTCGTATTATTCGTTTGAAAATTGTTCGAGTTATATACGACATATATATTTATATATATGATTTAGCTGGATTATGTTGATATGTATATATATTATTAAACTATCGCCATTTAAACGGTAATCATTTTTCATTCCATTCAAATTATTCGAAAAGTTTTCGATCATTATTAATAATAAAAATATCTAAAGTTTATAATATTAAAAGTGATATCAATTTTGAATCGTTAATTCCTGAAAAAATGATAACATTCGTAATTCGTGAAAATAATTTACAATGACGAATAAGAAATATAATATACATTAAACGCGTGTTAATAATCGTAAATTATTATTTTTTGTGCATGTTATTTTTAGATATATAAATGATATCCAACTATTATATATGTAATATCATTTTTTAAATCATATTCAATTATTAAATATGTTTGATTAATTCGTCATTTAATCAAGTTCATTTAATCAAGTTCATCGAATCAAGGTCATTTAGTAAGGAATCACCTTCCCCATCTTCCTCGTCATCATTTAGACACTTGTCTTTATACGCGTTTCTTTCTCTCATCTACACACACACACGCACACTTAGATAGATAAAATCGCAAGCTTATGTTAGATGGCCGAATGGAAATAAGAAAGTTTTTTATGCTCCCTCAGAATATGATTTACGAATCAATTTCTTTGATTCTTTTTCTTTTTTTCATAATGTAAAATGAATTGTTTTTTACCGTAATTTACGTCACCGCTTACATCATATCGCTTTATGTTCCTTTTTTTTTTTTTTTAATTAATGCCGGAAGAGTAAATACGAACAAAAAGTGAGGAAAAAAGTATTCATTAACGTTGAAGTTAAAAAAATTATAATTTATAATATACAACATACGAATATAATTCCTAACCGATGATATATTATATTTCCTTTTTTATTTTTTTTTATTTTTTCTTTTCTCAAATAATATTATTATGTTTAAACGTTTAGGTAAGTTTCGAAGATACGAGAAACGTATCTAAAAGGAAATTATCCTTGATGAAAGACGATCAGGGATAGAAATTTTTCAATGCAACACTCGATACACGAAATTCTGCTGACACTGCATTAATAATTTATGCGTATTATGTTTTAAAGAAAGTTTACTTTAATCAGTCGAGAGAATAATAATAACGGAATGTAATCTGGTGAAAGCAAGAGATGTATACAATAAAGAATGAAAGTTCATTCTACGCGATCGTAAAACAATATTGATAAGTATACGCATAATATATTATTTTCATTACGATTAATGTTTCCCTTTTCTTATGAATGCCACTCAATAACGTTATCATCTTTGATACTAAAAGTAATTATAATATGAATTCGATAAAACATTATATTGACAATAAATTGTAGCTTGTTTTGACGTTATATACGTAATTTTTATAAAAGAATGCAAGGAGGATTATTATCAATGGCCGTATTGAATGTATGATGCATCCTGAAACGAAGTTTCATATAACATTGGCCTAGAAATAAATTTTACGTTTGCCTAAGTCAAACCTCGATATCGAAGAAAGTTTACATAAATACTTTTTTATTCGTATATGAGAACTTTTTTTAATTAAGGCAGGATTTTACTTTAGTCGCTCGGAATAATAGGTATTTTTGTCAATTTTTTATTAGAAAACTAAGAAAGACATTGATGTAGGGTTTGTTGTGCTTAATAAATATACTCTTAAAGTACATTAAAAATTTTTTTTATTTATTTTATACGCTCTATATACATTGGAAAGGCCCTTGAACTGAACGTCTAAAAATAGTCTAGCCTTTGCGGTGTTGTAAAAGTCTTGACATCTGATTATCTGAAATGAAAAACTCGAATAGTTTTATGTTCACAAAGACTACAGCAACCAGTGGTAGCAGATTTTTTCATTTACAAGCAAAAATAACAAAATGGCGTCAGTTGAAAAAAATTATCAAAAAAATCTCATTTTTTTTCTCATGTCTTGCCAAAAAAAAATAGTTAAAATAAAAATTTTTTTATAAATCTGCTACCTCCGGTTAATATATATGTATAGATTATGTGGTAAAAATTTCAGACGAATCGAATAGCTAGTTTTAGAGATTTTTACAACACGCGGTTTAAAAATGTGATTCCGAGAAAAACGCATTTAAAGTTTTTTTAAATACTTTTTTTACCCGCGCACGGGTAGATTCGAGGGACGAAAAAGTACAGTTAGGATGCTCTGATCGTTTTGAAATTATCAGAGAGTATTCTTAAATATATTTACTTATGAATAATCGAAAAAAAAAAATTTGAAAAAAAAGAAATTACAAAGTAGAATCCTGCCTTAAATCCTTGTTTTCTTTATTTTTTATTATTTTAATAAAACAATTTTAAAATTCATTACAATCATATATTTATGTGTAAATTTGATTATCTCATGTCTTTTTTCTCATTATTCGTTATCTCTTTTTTTCTGAGAAGTTTGTGATCACCTTGAAGTTTATGATAACCGTCAGCAGTTGCATCTTACCAATACGAAGATTTTACAGCCCTTCTCAGGACATCTTCTGACCTTGAGTAAAAATACATATGTTTTATCCTTGAACTGGAAATTTTTTCTTGAACGATCGATGCAAGTTGAAATATTTTACGATATATTATTACATTTTTTAGATGAGAAACAATTGCAAGACGTATATTTTTTTTATTTTAATATTTTTTACTTTCAAAAATTCATCTTTCAGAATAATTTAAATGGTTTTTTAAAAGTGAAACTTTGTGGACGATGATAAAGACAATATTTTATTAAACGATACTAAAAAGAAAGAGAAAGAAGAAAAGAGAGAGAGAGAGAAAGAGAGAGAGAGAGCACCCACCCACCATATCGATTTTCTTATTCTCAATTTCATATTTGTATGCGACTCTAATAATTCAATTAAGTTATCAATATAAAAAACTTAAGATGTTTAACTTCTGCCACATGTTGATTTTACGCACGTGCCTTTTTTTTTCTTTTAACTTATATCTCATATTTTCATTTCCATTTAAAAATTAAATGATTTTTATTAATAAGCGTGATTCGACATTTTTATAATTCGTCAAATATATTTTGCAGATTTTATTATTTTTTTTTATAATAAACACTAATTGTAAGCCCTAAATATTTCGGATAATCTTCAATATCAAATAACTTCTGTTCCAGCTTAATTATTTAATATAATAACAAATTTTTTTCATTCGCGAATTACAAGGATATTACGATCTTCAAACTGTTGGTACAGTCTGTATTTTATTTTCAACACTGAATTTAATTATAGAATTAAAATTTAAATAAAAATAAAAAGTAATGTTGTCAAAATTGATAAACGATAACGAAAATATGTTCTTAACATTTATTTTTAGGCAAATAAACTAATCATAAATTTATCAAGGTGTGAACGTATAATTCTCAACGTATTTTTTAATTATTTTGTTTATTTTATTTTGCCCATCTCTCAATACTTGAATGTTTGTTTTTTTACATAGGTCAATAAGTAACCCTTAGAAGAAGTGTCTAATTTATTTAAATGCTTCTTCTTTGACGTCAGAACACATTTGTTTGAATAGTTGTATCGACGAACGTGCGTCATTGGAACCTCCTTTTTTTTCCTTTCATTTATATTATTCTCTGTCTTTTTTTCTCTCTCTCCCATTCTTGTTTTTTTTTTTCCATTCAGGTTAAAGAAAAGACCGGTTTTAGGGGGTCCACCATATCTTGGTGTAAGTAACTAATATCATTTATTCGTGAACTCACAACTTAGGATTCCCCGGTATAAAGATTATAAAACAAACGATTAAAGTGTTATCGATCTTTTAGCAAAAAACAAATCCAACCGGTTCCCGGAATTGTTATCATTGCATGTAATCACGAAAGAATGTGTCAATCATTACAAATAATAATGGAAACGTGTGGTTATTATGATTGAAAATTTTATCTAACAGAGGATAATATCAAAAGCTTGTTAGGTAATATTTTCAATTATTTCAGAATATTTTGTTATATAAAAAAAAAAAAATAGTATGTTAAAAGTAACATATACATATATAAATATATTTAAAAATATTTCAATTTTGATTATTTGTACTGCTTTGGTGGAATTTTTTTGTCTTACCATACAAATACACTTAAATAAATACTACATACATATGCACATGAATATCTATCTGTCAGTCAGTTATTTTTCAGAGTAGAAGTATAGTCTTCCTCTTTCTTTCTTAACATTTACACAGATAGGATTTTACCTACTTTCCAAGTGCTATTTGACGTTCGGTATTATCGATGGTTCATTCGTTCATCATTTCGTTGGTTAAAATAATAACGATTATTTACTTTCCATTTTG